TCCAACCGAAGCCTCTTCTGTGAATCATCTGGTGATCGCACCCCCTCCCAGACGGGCTCTCTGGGGCCCCCTTTACATGAGGCCTGGAGCCCCGTGCCTTGTCCAGGTCACACCGCCAGGAGCTGGGAGCATCAGGGGCTTGGCCTTGATGCCCTTCGCTCACCGCTATGTGGTCTCCTCAGGGGAGCAGCCCCTGTCCCCCCGGGGGGTGCCGAGCAAGGCTGCATGTGGGTGACAGCTGGGGAGCCCACACCCCACAGGGTCTGTGCCCGGGTCCCCGACAGCAGGGACAGGAGGAGACAGGGAGTGGCAGCCAGGACACACAGAGGTCTCCAAGGCCACCGCTGGCCGGTCCTGCTCCCCGGGGTGGGGGGCACCTGTCCCACCTGGACCCTCCTTCTCCCCAGTGACAGGCAGGGTTTGGGCCCAATCCCTGGACATCACGCAGTGTGGGTCAAAGGGCAAGGTTGGCTAGAGGAGGGAAGGACACACCGGGTCTAGAGCCAATCATGCGAAGGGTGCCAGGCTGGGCTGGGTCCCAGGGTAGGGACCGCGCCTCCCTGGACACCCAGCTTCTTAAAGGGCACGGAGACCACAGGCAGCAGGCGGGTCTGGAAATGCCAGGGGCCCAGCCCCTGGAGCCCTGGGCCTGGTGTCGCAGCCCGAGGCCTGGGCAGAGTCTGTGGGGAGCGGGGTTGGGAGCCGTTGGCTGGGCGAAGGGCAAGGCCTGTGGTCCAGACCAGCCGGGTCATGTGGGGAAGCCCTGCCCACGGAGCTGGTCTCCCTGGTGACGGACGACGGTTACGTAAGACACCTGCAGAGCTGGAAGGGTTAAGACAGCGGGGGGTCATCACAGACTTGCTGCTGCTGCTGCTGAGCCGGACGGACTCTGTGTGGGGTCGCCCTCCGGGGAGGCCAGTGCTGGGAGGCTGCGCCCAGGGCAGCTGTGACGGGGGACCCAGGAGCCGTGGGGAGCAGCGGAGAGAATGGCTGGCAGCCGCTGCTGGTGGTTTTGTTTTTCTTGGCGAGAGAAGTTAGGCCCGACAGTTGGGGAACTCAGTCTGCGCTTTCCTGGCAGATGCGGAGGCTGCGGGCCGCGGGGCCCACCTGAGCGCGTTGGTCACGTGCCAGTCGCAGGCCGGCTCTCCAGGCCCCTCTGCCTGGCGTCCACCCCCCCTCCCCCCGAGGGCACAACCGGCAGTCTGGCTACAGTGGTGATGGCGCTCGTCTTCTTTTTAAAAAATATGTTTTTATTGGTTTCAGAGACGAAGGGAGAGGGCGAGAGAGAAACATCAATGATGAGAGAGAATCGTGGATCAGCTGCCTCCCGCACGCCCCCCACTGGGGATCGAGCCTGCAACCCAGGCCTGTGCCCTGACCGGGAATGGAACCGTGACCTCCTGGTTCATAGGTCGGTCGATGCTCAACCACTGTACCCCGCCCGCGGGCACTTTTGTCTTCTTTTTGTAAAGACTTTCTTTTTAGGACGGTCTAAGGTTCACAGCACCATCGAGAGGAGGGTCCGGAGCGTTCTCCTATGTCCCTGGCCCCACACACAGCCTCCGCCATTGTCGCTTCACTCACCAGGATGGGACGCGTCGCTGTCACCCCCAGTCCCTGGGTGACCGGAGGGCTCAGGCGGGTGGCGCGCATCCTGTGGGTGGTACAGTGTGTGATGACGTGTGTCCATCATTGTAGCAACCTGCAGAGCAGTCTCACTGCCCTAATGACCCCTGCACTTGCCTCTCCCCACCCCGCCCCGCCCCAGCCCCCCAGCCATGGCCTTCCTGCTATCCGCTCCCCCTGCTGCACCCTGTCCAGGTG